TTTAAAATTGCGTTATATTTGTTAAATATTAATGTTTCACAATTGTTAATTAAATAAACAAGTTCCTTATAAAATTCTCCACAAAATTGTTATATCACATGTTTATATTTATTATTATAAAATGAACTGATAAAAGTGGTCATTGAGGTCAAATAAGGTAATATTTGCCAAGCTGGAAATTTGGGTTCTACAATTTAATATAAAAGTAATCTTTATTAGAAGTCATAAAATATCATTTAGTTTGTTCTGGAACTTCCGGTTCGGCCTGAGTGACCACTTTTATCGATATATTTTATCATAATAAATATAAATATGTGATATATCAATTTTGTGGAGAATTTTATAAGGAACTTATTTATTTAAGTAACAATTGTGAAACATTAATATTTAACAAATATAACGCAATTTTAAAGATTTTTAAAGCGATTATCTAACAATTTTCGGGTGAATAATATAAAAGTACTCTTTATAAGAAGTCATAAAATATCATTTAGTTTGTTCTGGGACTTCCGGTTCGGCCGGAGTAACCACTTTTATCGGTTTATTTTATCATAATAAATATAAATATGATATGTCAATTTTGTTAAGAATTTTACAAGGAACTCGAATATATATAAGTAACAATTATTAAACATTAAAATTTAACAAATATAACGCAATTTTAAAGATTTTTAAGAGATTATCTAACAATTTTCGGGTGAAAATGACGTTATTTATTAATTTAATTAATATCATTGTATTCTACGTAAAATTCTCTATAAAATTGATATATCACATGTTGACATTTTATATAAAATATTTCCCGATAAATGTGATCACTGCGGCCGAACCAGAGGTCACAGGACAATATAAATTACATATTCTGACTCAACATTGAATGGACGTTCATATGCAATCAAAAAATCCCGATTGCCAGTTATTTATAAACAATTGTAATTTAAAATATCTAAAAATGTAATCAAATAAATAGTCTTATTTTATACTACTGTACTGTACTTTATAAATATCACAATTGTTATATCATAATCTTACTAAGTGTGGTATATAGACCACACTTTTTGATGTTTATATAAGAATTGTTTATGCATTCCTTTCTACATGTTACTATTAATACTAGTAATACCTTATGTTAAAACAAATTGCTTTAAAATATAACGCAGTTTGTAATAAAAACTTAAATAATTGTAAATAATAATAACTTTTATTTTGTGAACTAATGTCTGGTTTAGACAAGAATCGAGTAATCGGTGTAACCGATGAGGAATTGGATGAATACACGTGTGGTATATGTCTGGAGGTTTTTGTCGATCCTGTGGTCACCCAATGCTGTCAACAAACTTATTGTAGTGAATGTATGTACGGTTGGCTCTCAGACCACAATACCTGTCCCAATGATCGTAAGGAGTTGAGTCGTGAAGGGTTGGGTCGGGCGCCAAGATTTGTCGTTAATTTACTGAATAATATGAAAGTAAAATGCGATTTCTATGCCAATGGCTGTAAATCAGTGGTGAAAATGAGTGAATTGTCACAACATATAGATTATTGCGATTATAATGAAAGCCGAAAGTGTGCGACCTGTCACCTGCCTATTGATGGCAATACTCAACACAACTGTATTGAGAATCTATTGATTCATAATAAAAGTCTTTGCGATGAAATCAAGAGAATCCAATCGGATAATCATAAATTGGTGAGCCTTTGATTTATGCATATTTTTTAAAATTAATAACTTTATTACAAGCGTTTTATATATACAATAATATACTTTATATGCCCTTTTGTTCTCAATTCAAATCATTTAAATTCATTATGTAAATACCTGTACTGTACTACAGGTCCTGTAGTACCTACTGCAATAAAACATGTAGTAATGTGAATAGCTGTATATATCAAAATAAATTAAACGTTCATTTGTTCATAAATCTACTTTTAGAGTATGTGTGGTGTGATTGAGTTGGCTCGTAAAGACCTGGATAATTGCAGTGTGAAATCACGAAAGAATATATCGTCGATTGAAATGGAGTTATGCATCAAAAGCACCAAAGAGGTCATCAGTAGGTGCAACAGCTTTATGGATATATCGACGCACATACACAATGTATTGAATGATAATACGGATGACACGGCTAACAGATTATGGCATTGCATTGCATTCTCCAAACACGGCGGAGAGTCTCTCGTAACGTCCAAACAATACTGTCATCTGGTGTGTGGTTTGCTTCACATCGAAGTATTTAGTACTGTCAAGTATGAAAGCAATGTTTCTAGTAACATTGTTCAATAGCAAAAATCTAATATCGGCAAATAGTACACATCAGTACCTAGGGCAAATTGGACACAGATTATTAATAAAAATTCAATCAAAAAGATTGTATAAAATTTAGTTTTCTGATAAAAATAACTTTTCTCAAATAAAAGGCTTACTATGCACTGCACAATGCTATATCAACGGATGTTTAGGACAAATTTAATTTGTTTAAATATTTTTATATTGTAAGTTATCAAATGATTAAACAGGTAATAAATTATTACTACAGTAATACAAAATTAAAATAAATTTTCTGAATGAAACATTAGTTAGTATTTTATGCATATTTTTATTGGTTATTAAGTTATTTTGCTAAACATATGCACATTAGAGTATGAACTGAGTGAATTATCTGGCTCGTAATGACCTGGATGATTGTTTATTGGAACACCACTACCTAATATCATCGCTGGAAGTGAACCTATACATGAATAGGGCCCGGGAGGACGTGTAAAACCTTTATGGATATAGCAAACCATGTGTGCCATGAATTTGACCAGGATATGAGTGGCAAACAATGGAATTGTATCGTGTATTCAAGTGAGAGTGGGAGGGCCAAGGTGTTTTCCAAACTACATTGTCGACTGGTGTTTGGTTTGCTTTATGTCGTTACAGTATATAAATTTATAATACACTGTAATTTATGGCAATATTTTTTTGTGTTTATTAGATAAAAACTATTTTGTGAATTTTAAAGTTTTATAATTGCAATAATATATATGCTATAATATATTACTATAATATATGCAATCTTTTGGCCATCAAATGAATAGAAAAATGTTTCATGTATTGTCAATATTGATTAAACAATAAAAATATTACAAAACAATTAAATATATATTTTGTGAATAAATGCCGGGTTTTCATAAGAAACGAGTGATTGGTGTATGCGATGAAGAGTTCGATGAATACACGTGTGGTATATGTCTTAATTTGTCACACATTTAAGTATAATATTTTGATTTTATTGTCGTCAAGTTTGTAATTAACATAATAAAGTTATTAACGTTACGTAGAGTTTGGTTTTAAACAATTTCTGATTTTTAAAATATTATTTCTCTATTGTTCTTGTATAATATCATTTGTATTATTTTAGCAAGGCCACTAATCAGACAATAAATTAAAAGTGTAGTATGTTTGACATTAAAATTGATAACACTATACAGAGGTATTACGGATTTACGTCAAATGATAATATAACATATTTTTCATATATAATAACTTATTATAGAATAGTATATACAGTAAAACAATTGAAAATAAATACTACAAAATATAAGCATATTATAGTGAAATAAATATTTGATTTTAATTTCGTTACAAATAAATGCCATATTTTTGAGACTAAATGCCAGGATTTGATAGGAATCGAGTGGTCGGTGTGTCTGATGAAGATCTGCAAGAGTTCTCGTGTGGTATATGTCTGGAGATATTTGTCGACCCAATGGTCACTCAATGCTGTCGACAAACATATTGCAGTCAATGTATCCATTCGTGGCTCTTAGGACACAATACATGTCCTAATGATAGAAAACTTATGCAAACGGAAAGGTTAGTACCGGCGCCCAGATTTGTATCAAATATCTTGAATAATATGAAAGTTAAATGCGATTTCCATGGGAATGGGTGTCAGAAAGTTATGAAAATGTGTGAATTGACAGAACATGGATTTCAATGCGAGTTCAATGGGGATATAAAGTGCAAAACCTGTGGTTTTATTAAACTTAATGATCGACACAATTGTGTGGAAAACCTGTTGATTGTCAACAAAACTATTAGCACTGAAAACGAGAGATTGAAAACTGAATGCAAGGATTCTGTGAGTGTTTCATATAATATACTATTTATTAATTAGTCTATAATTTACTGTATATTACAGAGTATGTTAGGAGTGATAGGGAGGGCTCGCCATCATCTCAACAAATATCACATCGAAAGCAAGTTCTGGTCCATTGCTGAGGCCGGGTATGACTTGCGGACCAGTATTAGTGTCTCAATCGATGCCATACTTAACAATAATAGTTATAAAGACATCTCAACTTATATTATAAACGCTTTGAATGGGTGTGAAGAGGGAAAGGGATGTTGGAGTAAACGCTGGAATTGTGTGGTATTGTCGAGAAGTGGTGGTGAGAGTGATATCTGTGCTGTCGATGACTACTTCAGGGTATCGTTTGGCGACTTATTTATTGTCATATTTTCGGTCCAGAATTAAGGCCTTTGAAATAAATTTGTATAACATGTTTAAAATAAAGATTACCGGGGTTCTTATGGATTACGGCTTAACATTTCAAAAATATCATATCATATGATAGATACAGAGATAAGATAATCATTTATAAACTATAAAAAGGACAAACTTTTATGTTGTATTTAAACATATTGTCAGTGTACGTAGCCATGGTCGATTTTAGACCTTGTACATGGTGAACCTTGTCTGACTTGGGCACGTAAGGTATGTTGTTTAGGATCCAGGTGGATGTATCTATTAATAGTGAACGCATGTAATTAACGTTACTATTGTACGTTGATTCCCACGGTGTATGATCATCTACAGTTTGCAAGTTATTTTCTGTGTGAAGTTATTTTTTAGGTGGTTAACGAGTAGATGTAGAAAGTCAACTAGGTCAGTTCTCACGGCGTAGTTAAAGTTATCAGGCTCGCCGCTTAACTGGGCAAACGAGCCTTGTAAGTCACCCTTAGTAGTTGCCAACTCTTTTAGCCAGGTAAAGTTAGCATCGGCAAAACATTTAAACAGATCGGCAAACTTGGAGTAATTTTCGGCTGATGGTACTAGCTCATCGGGTAGCTCAGCATGGTCGGACTTATTAGTTAGTGTCAACACTATCGAAAAAAGAAAGATTAAGTTTAAAATAGACATAGTATATTTACTGGATTATAAATTTTCTATTATCTATATGTTATATGTATTAGTAACTGGACTCTATAGCCCATGAATGTTAATGTATGAGCTAACCTGTTATATATTTTCTAAATCTGTAAGTATAAATTAGGTTGACAATTATATTTATACATTATTTCTAAATAATCTATATAAAAAACAATTGCTATTTATTATTATTCTTAAGCGGAATATGATTGTGTTATGTTTAGTTATTGAAATGTTTTCATGTGGAATAACATTTATTCATTATAATTATGAAAACTAACTGTAACCAACTTTAAATCATCATGATACAGTCATCTAATTTTAAGATTAATTTATTTAGAATTAATGTTTATTTAAAAATCAACAATTAATAATAAATGATGTTTAATACAGAATCCTGTTTGAAATAAATAAAACAGATGTGTTAAGGTAGTATACTATTATAAATAATAACCTTTAATTATATATAAGTGTCATGAACATATTAATTTTAAAGCAAAAATAACTAAACATAAAACTGGTCAGTTATAATACAGGGTGTTTCACCATTGGTACCATGTTTGTGGTCTTATATCTCAAAAACTAAATCAGATGCTAATTATTGTGCTGGTGGATCAACTATACCAGGCTCAAACTCTTCACAAAAATCAAATTCAGATGCAAATCAAAGTTAAACTTAATCAGTTAATAATTTACTAATTATAATTATAATTATAATTACATAATAATGGCTCTCATTCCCAATTTTGTGGTCCAGAATGGGAAATAGCTCCTTTATATAAAATTAATGTAAAATATTAAATTTTTATTAATTTATTATAAAGTTATTTATATTTGTTATATTTAAATTAAATAAAGAATTAATAATTATAAATGTAACTACCTATAAATAGCTTTCTATCTCCATTTGGTGGTCCTGAATGTGTGACAGGTGGGGTAGGGTGACAGGTAGGGTGGGGTTACAGTAGGGCTTCCACCCGTCCTCCAATCGGCCCCTCAAAGTAATGTCCTCACAGAGATAATTGCTAAAATAACTTAAATATTAATTTGATTCTTAGTTAAATTTGTAAATATATTTAATATTACTTTTGATGTGAATTTAAAATATTTATAAAAACTGTGAAATCATTGTTCGGATGACAGTAACAAGTGTTTTAAACATTAAAACAATAGTTTCTTATACTATTATGAGTACAGGAGACAAAATTATAAATTAATATTTGGTTGTCCTCCCAATGTCCTCCTGACCTGTCTCAATTTTGGCAATTTGTCCTCCCGGGCTCTGAAAATTGGTGGCAGCCCTAGGTGACAGGTGGGGTGGGGTTTTAAAGTCAAATCCTGTTATTACTGCAGTGATTAATCACAGTCTTAGCTCTAGCCCTGGGATCGTCACCAGACCTCCTCTAGTGATGCACACTCTGTGAGTCTATGCCCTTTAGTACAGTCTATGCTGTTAGACCGCTGAGCCACTCAGCTCCCTGAGTGTGATGATGTATAGATCATTAATGTGTAAAATATTGCGGTACGTAGCCGGGCATCGCCTCCGTTACTACCCGGACGCGGCTTAGGCTAATGCCGAAAGGGTCTAACGTACGTAGCGGTCAATCATAAGGGTATAAGGGTGTGTCGTATGTTGCCTCGGTGTTCTTATAATATAAGAGACTGTGTTGAAGAATATGCTAGAATGGGGGTCTCGGGTGGAGTGCCCTCGTATTACACAAGTGCGGTACTACAATATATTTATTGATCTGTACTAATTTAACTTAAAATTGTATTTCTTAATTTAGAATTAAATTTAAATCTAATAAACTGTTACATTGAATTTGATGTACAGATAATTTAATAGAATTATTCCAAAATTTACTAGAACTAAATAAAACTAAAATTTTTCTGCATAACAGTAGTCGTGAATTATTTATTATTAATTGCGTGCAGTTGTATTCAATGTAAATATATTTTTAATAATAAAATTTTAAAATACTATAGTTTAATCATTTACAACTAGATATCAAGCATATATCAAGCACATATGCTATTACTAGTAATAATAAATTACATGTAAAAGAAACACGATTTATTTAACTAGAATATAATTTAGCCGTAAATATAATTTTAAACATAAATTTAGTTTACATCCAAGGTATTTAAGGAACTAGCTCATACGCATCAACATTATTATAAATGTTAAAGTTGACAATTATTATAACTCTTAAGGTTTACCATTATGAGTATTTCAAAAATGATCCCTATCCTATTAGTCGCGCTAGCACTAATGCCTAAATCTGATCAAGCTAGCCTGTCGGATCGACTTTCACCATTAACCCAAAAATATCATGGACTCGAATCGATGTTTCAATGTATGAAAGATCGTAACCTATTCTTGGCTACAGAGGATGAAACCTTTGATGGCAACGTGGATCGTTTGGCTGAATCAGCAGTACAACTCGCTAGTGAGCCGGATAACTTTGCCTACGCGGTCCGGACGGACGTGGTTGACTTTCTACACTTGTTCGTAAATCACCTATCATTTTACACGGAAAATAATCTACGAACTACCGACGATCATTCGCCGTGGGAAACCAGGTACAACGTGCACACGTTTTACATGCGACAACAAATGATAGGACTGGCCACGTGGATCTTGAACAATGTACCCGGCTCACCACCGACGGAAAAGAATCACCACGTACCTGTCCTAAAAGAGAACATGATCAGATACACCGACATGTTGTTGAGGACCTTCACCAATTTGAACGCCTCCAACGAACCGGACTTTTTCGCCTGCGTATCGCATGCTTACCGCGATATTGGCAACGCTTTCGATAAGGCTATAGGCGCTCAGATAAAGGCCCGGCTCACTGCAGAGGGGTTGCCTGTTGAATATGAGTACCTGGCACGATTTCAGGAGGAATTTCAATCAGCGTGGTTTAAAATTTTGAGCGCATTAGTTATATAAATTTTAATGCGCTTAACATGTTGCTAAATTTTAAAATTGCAGCATGTATAAATTATTCAATTACTTTATTAAAAGTGATATGAATACGGAATTAAATAAATAATTGAATTAATAAATACGAGTACTTTATTAAATTTTAATAACTTTTTAAAGAATTCTAAGATTATAAATAAAAATGTTTAAAAGGGCATAATATTATTCACAATATTTAAAACGATAAATAACCAATACGTCATTCATGTATACAGAATCATTATCAATATAAATTATAACTCAAAATTAAGTTTAAATCTCATAAACAGTAACATTTAATTAAATGTACAGATTATTTACCATTACAATTTTTTAAAAATTAATATATCTAATTAAACCTGAAATTATTCTGCGTAACCATTTATAAATAATTTATAATTATATTTGTTAGTATGTGATACAAAACTATTCTATTTAAATATATTTTTAACTATAAAATTTGAAATTAAGTTTAAGTAATTACAACTTGATATTTACCACGTATAATATTAATCATAAATTACATGTAAGGCAAACACGATTTATTTATTCATAATTATTAAATATCTGCTACAATTAATTTACTAATCAGTTAAACTTAAATTTAATTTTAAGCATAATTTTAAACTACATACAACGCTATAATATTTAAAAAGTTAGCTCATACACATCAACATTATAACTAAAGACTGGATTCAAAGGTGGTAAAAACAATCTTGATAGTCATTAAAAAGTTACTAAAAAATTGTCAAATAGTTACTTATTGTCAAGTTATTAATTTATCCTCAAATATCATACAAATTATTTGATTATTTTGAGTTATAATTAATAAAAAGGTATTTCGAGAATTTAAAATTAATTTATTAGTCGAAAAACTCCAATCAATATCCAATTAGTTAGTTGTCTAGAATACTTAAAACAATCCAACTCTTGGACTTAAAAATATATTTCCAGGTTAATAAATAGATAGGTTTATAATTTGTTTTACAGTTTTTCAATATTTTTTTAACAAATTGAATAGTTTGTTTTTACAGTATATCAATGAATTATTTACAATTCATTGACTTTTTTGTATAAAAATAAAAAATTCATTAAATAGTTATTAAAAAGTTAATAAAGTTGCTAAAAACTTAAAAAGTTATTTATAACCAAAATAAAAGTCTCCTAAAATGACCCTTATTACATGATTGGTATGTAAACTTAATTTCAAGACTATCTCCGATATCGCAGCAAATAGTTATTTAACTCAGAATCTTGTCTTTAATTATTGGTATAACTGTTAATAAAACAAATGTGTTAAGGTAGTATACTAGTAAAAATAATAACCTTTAATTATATATAAGTGTCATGAACATAA